AATTTAAGCATTTTTACTGTTTATAATTGTCCTACAATCGATTGACTTCAATGAAGCTACTTTACAAATCAATTCTAGTGGAGCCACAACTATATTATTGGTGCAGTGCCGATCAAGTTAGAAAATCAATCCCAAAACAAGGTCATCGTCAACCGTAATTCCTTTACTCCTTTCGTTGAGAAAGGAGTAGGAAATGGACCTACTTGTAAGAAAAACATTATAATTAAAAGAGAAATCTCATTTAAGTTAAAATTGGATCTCTTTAATTGATCGGATGTATTAATTTTATACAAACGAAAAACAATAGTACTCAATTATTAGAATTTTTATGTGTTTATTGTAGGTAATTAAAAATCTGTAATAAAGGTCGCCTAATTTACAAATAAAGCACCAAATTCTTGGTCCCTAATTTCTCCCATCAAACACACTTTAGTATGGCCAAAGTCTTTTTACTTCTTTCCGGTAAACTGTGTTTCCACGAATTAACCCTTAATGGAGTTTTTATTATTATTTTAATTATACAATAAAAAATAATTATTTTTCATTTCTTATCTTATATCACTTATATATTATATAATTTAAATTTAAAATTTTTTATTTTTAATAAAAATAAATTACCATTAATTAAGTAATTTAAATCCATTAACACTTTCAAAAAGTTACTAAAAAAAAAAAACATTTCTATTATAAAAATATGATTTCCCCTAGGGTAATAAGTAAGTCAATCAATTGCACTGTTAATATTCAAGACAGATGATTTTTGTGGAGCCACCGCGCGGCCAGAGGATTTGTAATTATTAAGTGTGGCATCGTAGAAAATCCCAAGGCATGGTCTGGTCATGTCAGTTGTGGAAAAATGAAAACAAAAAAAACAAAAAAAGAGGTAATGTCTTTGTTCCTTTCGAATTCGGTGAGAAGGAAACCAGATGGAAACTGCCTTTCTAATTGCCATGCAATGAATTGAGTCCAATGAAACAACTTAGAAACAATTCCAGTGGAGCCACCTAGAAGTAAATAAATAAATATATATATATATAAATGCATTTTACTCTTGATTTTAAAAAAAATTTTAATGATGTCATTTTATTTTAAATTTAAAATTTTATATCATTAAATGTTAATTTCTAGATTTGTAATCTAATTATATTTCTAATAAGAAAATGATTAAAAAAACCTAATTGTAACAAATTTTGTTATAATTTTACGTGTTATTCAAATAATTTATATTTTTATTCATTTAAAATTATAATATTATATACATCAATATACTTATTTAATAAAATATAAAAGTTATCTTAGGTATTGTACAACAAGATTGTTACTGTATTACTACCCATTCTAATATAATCATTTTTGAAATCTATGTATTAATATTTAATAAAGTGTATTTTTAAATTTTAAATTAAGCTTTTAGTTTCAAAATGTATGAATTAGTTTTTAATAAGATAAATTTTTAAATTTTAAATTAAGTTTTAATTAAATGAAATAATGTCGTTTAAGATTGAAATTCTAATTTTTTAGGACTCATTTGGTATAACGGTTTGGAAGTAAAACTACTAAAAATAGATGTTTGGTAAACTTATTTATTTCAATATCGATACAAATTAGATGTTTGGTAAAACTTTTTATTTTGCAACTTGAGACTAATAGATAGCAGTTAGGATTCACACTGCTAACGGATTAAAAAACCTACCTAATGTAGCTTTTTATACCAAACTGTTAGTAGATTGGAATTTTTTAATTTTATTAACAAATTTATACCTTTTGATTTTTAAAATTTTTTACCACAGTTTTTTAATTAGTATTTATTTAATTAGTTTTAATTTTATTTTTATTTTTTGGTCTTTAACAATATTAAGTAATTATTATATTTTTATTTTTACATTAATTTATCATAAAAAATTAACTTAATAAATAAAATTTGCTAAAAATGGGAATTTAATGGTTAATATATTGGTTTCATCCTGTATCTAAAAAATAAATATTAACTTCCTTTTTTAATGTTTACTACAGACAACTAAGAATTTGTAGTACAAGTCACCTAATTAAAAGCACAAATGTATGAAGGAAAAGTTAATGGGAGAAGGGATGTTTCCATCCTGCTGGAGCTTTTATAGCAAATATGAAAGGCACTTAGTGATGGGTTTTACATGTTGTGAAGTTCATCATGCTCTGAGGGAGCAAAATAAGTTGGGACATGAGATAGCCAAGGTAGCTCCGAGAATAGATCATGAGAGGATTTGGAGTAGAGCAATTCCTTGCAAGTGCTTGGGTTCCCCCCCTTTTGTATCTCAAGGGGTTCAATTTTATGAATGATAGTTTATATTTCTTATCAAAAGGGAAAAAAAAAAAAAAAAAGCACCAATAAATGATGTTGTATGATACTTAATCAAGCATGAATTAACAGATGATGGATTTAATAAGTGGAATTGTGGTCATTTCTCCTATCCTAGTTAATACATAATATTTCTTTTATAAAAATAAGATTCACCCCTTTTTATCAATCTCTGCACTTCAAAAATTGGTTAATTGGTAAGAATTGCCCAGTGGGATAGGAGCAAGTCAAGATCAAAAAATAAAAACCAGTGCTTTTATAATGTAATGATTGTGAATTACGCTAACTGAGCCATACTACAGCAAAAAAAAAAAGGAATTTCTGATATTGATTCCCTGAATTTGCATACTAGCATGGATTTGACATGATGATTTTAATTTTATTTTGTCAATATTACTCGTTTCCTCGAATTAATGGTTAGTTTGGTCATGGTAAACAAAATTCCTGTGCTCCATTTGTTACACAAATATAAGATGACTACTTCTCCTCATCCACGCCAGAGTAGTCTTTGCTAAAACATAAGTTGATTTCAATCTCAGTCATAGAAATTTTTTGTTCCTTGTGCTCAATTTCAAAACTCTCAAAGATATTGTGTCGTTGCTCCTGTGAGGTCTGCCTTGAAATCATGAAAGGTTAAAGTGCTTTTTAAGCTTTGGAAGTTGGCAGCAAGATTATGGAACCAGCCATGGAGGTTCTTAAATCTAGAAGCATACCAGAAACTCCAAGCTTGAAAAGCTCCGATATGCTTTAATGGCGCTGTGCGTATTGGAGTTTCTCCAGAATTACCAAACTACCCTTTCATACTGCTATAAATATAACCGAGCTTTCTTGAGGGTATAGTGGGGTGAGATTTAGACACCATCAGCCACCATAAGAGGAAACAAGGTGGTCCTTTTAGGGTCTAAGGGGTTTTCTCTGGTAGAGTGAGCTTGGGTGTATTGGGGACTCCTACTGGAGTGTGGATTGAGTGATTTAGGCTATTCAAATCTCTTGTACAAGGTTGATTTCATACTAGATTTGATGCTCTCCTTCGCCTACGAACGTAGCTATCACATATTGTGGCAGTGAACCATGTATATCTTGTGTTTGCTTTATTTTCTGCCCTTAGATTACTAGATTATTGTTTCAGCCGTGCACCAAATTAAACTTACAGCTCCATTCAATCATACAATGTCCTACTACACAACTTCTTTCAAAGCCATGCTTCCCTTGCTGCTCTCCATTTTCTGTTTACAAACTCTCATAAATGCCACTTCCACTTTTCCTGGAAATAAAACTGATCATATGGCCTTGATAGCCTTGAAGTCCAAGATTTCATATGACTCTTTAGGGATTTTCAAGTCCTGGAATGATTCTATCCACTTTTGCCAGTGGGAAGGCATCACTTGCAGTCGTAGAAGGGATAGAGTCACCATTTTGGATCTAGAATCCAGGGGCTTGGTGGGTTCTTTATCACCTTTTGTAGGGAACTTGAGCTTCCTTCAGGAGATTAGACTCTCAAACAACAACTTTAATGGTGACATCCCACCCGAAATTGGTCGCCTACTCAGGTTACATGTCCTAAATTTGAGTTACAATTCTTTTGAAGGAAAGATCCCACCTAACCTGTCTCACTGCTCTAACCTTCATTTCCTCAACATTGATTACAACAGCTTAGTGGGAAAGCTTCCAGTAGAGCTTGCTTCCATGTTCAAGCTTATAGATCTTTCCATTCACCACAACCATTTTACTGGAGGTATCCCACCTTTCATTGGAAATCTTACCTCTTTGGTAACCTTATACTCAGCCGAGAATAACTTTGGGGGCAGCATTGCAGATGCACTAGGCCGATTGAGAAGCTTGAGATGTCTTAGACTCGGAGCAAATAATCTTTCTGGTAAGATCCCCCCGTCAATCTATAACCTTTCCATGCTTTCTAATTTCTCCATATCTTTTAATCAACTTGAAGGAAATCTTCCATGGGATATAGGACTTACCCTTCCTCATTTAGAATGGTTTCAAATAACTGAGAACCATTTTAGTGGGCAGATTCCAATTACATTGTCAAATTCTTCAAAACTTAAAATAGCAGAAATGCAAATGAACAATTTCACTGGAAAAGTAATAGTTCCTTTTGGGCACCTACAACATCTTCAAAAGCTGGCTTTGTTTTCGAATCATCTAGGAAGCGGAGAAGCTGATGAAATGAATTTCATCACTTCTTTGGTCAATTGCAGCAAGTTGAAATATTTAAACCTTTTTTATAATCAACTTCAAGGAAGATTGCCAGAATCTATAGCCAATCTCTCAAATCAACTGGGGAAACTTCACTTTGGATCGAATAACCTATTCGGGGACATCCCATCTGGGTTAGGGAATCTTGTCAGCTTAAGTAAATTGTTTTTGTTTGACAATCAATTTATAGGCAAAGTTCCAAAAGAAATAGGTCAACTTGAACAACTTTACAGTATGGATCTTGGTGGAAATAAACTTTCAGGAGAAATTCCATACTCTTTTGGAAACTTAACATTGTTGAGTATACTTGGTCTAGAAGATAACAATTTAAATGGAAGCATACCTCCAAGCCTTGGGAACTGCCAAAAATTGGAGCAATTGAATCTTTTTCAAAACGATCTTAGTGGCTTCATACCCAAAGAACTTTTTAACATTTCATCCTTGAGTATTGGACTAGATCTTTCTCATAATCATCTAGTTGGATCTTTACCTTTAGAAGTTGGTCAATTGAGAAACTTAGATGCACTAGATGTATCTGACAACGTGTTATCAGGAGAAATTCCAAATAGCTTGAGTGGTTGCACCAATCTAGAGGTTCTTCACCTTGATAGAAACCACTTTCAAGGTAGCATTTGAAAACAGCAATGTAAAGACAGTGACACAAATGCTGTCACACTATTTTTTCAGTTTGTAGCAATTATTAGTTGGTTTTTAATCCAGTTTGTTTTTCCATTGTAGTGCAGTTAACTTTCAGTTTTTAGTAGTATCTTTATTTCCTTGTAAAAAGCAGATTTGTTCAATGAAAAATTTCAGTTTTGCACTTACCAGATCTTCATCTCTTTGTTTACAAACTAACAATTGGTATCAGAGCACGGTTTGTTCTTGGAGGGACCGTGTCGTCTGAGTGTAAACACGTGAGGGAGTGATTTCAACCATGGAATCCTCTAATTTCACACCTAAAACTCCATACTTTGCAGGCCAAAACTACTCTGCTTGGTTTGTGAAGATGAAGGCCTACCTAAGGGCGTTTGATCTTTGGGATTTTGTTGAAAATGATAGGGAACCTGCAACCTTGCCAGAAAACCCAACTTTAAATCAGATCAAGAGGCACATAGAAGAGTCTACAAAGAGGTACAAGGCTCTTACGTGTATCCATGGGTCTGTGTTAGATGAAATTTTCAACAGAATTATTACTTGTGAGACAGCAAAGGAAGCCTGGGACACAATTAAAGAAGAGTTCCAAGGAGATCAAAAAACAAAGGAGATCCAAATTAATAACTTGAGATGGGAGTTCGAGGTGTTGAGGATGAAAGAAACAGAGACAGTGAAGGAATATTCAAACCGAGTGATGAAGACGGTGAACCAAATAAGGGTCCTTGGTGGAGAACTCAGAGAAAAAAGGGTTGTTGAAAAAGTTCTTGTCAGCCTACCAGAAAAATTTGAGCACAATATCTCCTCATTGTAAGATTCAAAGGATCTTTCAAGGATGAATTTGAGTGAACTCGTTGGTTCTCTTCAAGCTGTTGAGCAAAGAAAGGCTATTAGACAAGAAAGTACATCTGAAGGAGCTTTCCTTATGACAGAAAAAGGAAAAGCTCAAGTGAAAGAAGATGACACTTAGGTTATAGGTGGAGGTAAAAAGTAGTTCAACAACAGAAAAGGAAAAGAAAAGAGAGAGTACCAGTACAGTAGGTTTAAAGAAAGAAGAGACAACACGCCTTTTTGTTCTAATTGTCAAGTGAAGGGTCACTTGGATTATCATTGCTGGTTTAGACCAAGAGTGCAGTGTAGAAAGTGCAAGAAGTTTGGCCATGTTGAAAGGGTTTGCAAGCAACAAGCAAATCGTGTACAGCAAGCTAAAGTGGCTGAAATTGTGGATGAAGATGAAGAGAAGTTGTTCATGGCATCAAAGGTAGAAAAGAATCGTGTCGCTACAGTGAATGGTGATTTATGGTTGATTGATAATGGTTGCACAAACCATATGACACCAAATTTGAGTATCTTCAAAAGCATTGACAAAAGTTACTCCTCCAAAGTCAGATTAGGAAATGGAGATCTGGTGCAAGTGAAAGGCAAAGGTGTAGTTGTAATAGAGACTTCTACAAGTATTAAATATATTCATGATGTGTTATTTGTACCTGATATAAGTCATAATTTGATCAGTGTTGGCCAATTATTGGAGAATGGTTATGTTCTGAATTTTCATGACAAAATGTGTGAAATTGTTGACAAGTCTAGTACTAGATTGTTTTCAGTAAAGATGTTTGATATGAGTTTTCTAGTGGAATGGAAGCATACTAGGGTGCATGCTTATCCTAGTATTGTTGATGAATCTGAAATTTGGCATAAAAGATTTGGCCATTATAATTACAGTTCATTGAAACTGATGCATTCACATGAAATGGTTGCTGATTTACCTGCAATAGAAGATTGTGGTTCTGTGTGTGATGCTTGTCAAAAGGGAAAGCAATCCAAATTCCCTTTTTCAAAGAAAAGTAATTGGAGGGCTACATAACCATTACCACTAATACACTCTAACATTTGTGGCCCTATGAAAATAGAATCTATCAATGGGAGCAAATATTTTCTGTTGTTTATTGATGATTTTAGCAGGATGTATTGGGTTTATTTTCTAAAGAAAAAGCCATAAGTGTTTAATAAGTTTGTGCAGTTTAAAGCTGTAGTTGAAAATGAGATTGGCAAGTCAGTGAAAGTTCTAAGAACAAATAATGGTGGTGAATATGCCTCACTCCAGTTTGAGGATTTCTTGAAGAGCCATGGCATAAAACACCAACTCACAATACCATACAATCCTCAGCAAAATGGTGTCTGTGAGAGGAAAAATAGATCAGTTATGAATATGGCCCGGTGTCTCTTGTTTGAGAAGAACTTGCCAAGAAAATTCTGGGCTGAGGCTGTGAATACTTCTGTATATTTGCTCAACAGAGTTCAAACAAAGGCACTTGATAGGAAGACACCATATGAAGTCTAGTTTGGAATTAAACCAACCATTCGTCATCTCAAGGTCTTTGGTTGCATTTGTTACATGCATATTCCAAAGGCAAAAAGGGATAAACTTGATCGTAGAGCTGAAGTTGGAATTTTTATAGGTTATAACAGTGAATTAAAAGGCTACAGGGTGTTTAATGTGAAGACTGGAAAGATTGAAGTTAGTAGAGATGTGAACTTTAATGAAGCTGCAACTTGGAATTGGGAGAATTCAGAAGTTATATCTTCTGAGACTAGTCTTGAAGATGAAACTAATGAGGATTATGCAGTTAGAGGTACTAGATCACTAGTTGATATTTATGCAAGGTGTAATGTTAGTGTTGTTGAACCTCCAAATTTCTATGAAGCTGTGAAGTCAGAGGTCTGGTGAGCTGCAATGCAAAAGGAGTTCAATATGATTAAGAAAAATGATACATGGCAGCTTGTGGATCGACCAAATAACAAGAAAGTCATTGGTGTTAAGTGGGTTTATAAGGTGATACTTAATCCCAATGGTTCTATAAACAAGCACAAAGCAAGGCTTGTGGTAAAGGGATACTCACAGCTCCCTGGAATTGAATTTTGTGAGACATTTGCGCCGGTGGCCAGGTTTGATACCATCAGATTGCTTTTGGCACTAGCAGCTTAGAAATGCTGGTTTGTATACCAACTTGATGTTAAATCTGCTTTCTTGAATGGTTATTTGAAAGAAGAAATACATGTGGAGCAGCCTGATGGATTTGTTAAAAATGGTACTGAAAACAAAGTCTATTTGCTCAAAAAGGCTTTGTATGGACTTAAGCAGGCTCTTAGAGCTTGGTACAGCAGAATAGATGAATATTTGCTGAAATTGGGTTTTGTAAAGAGTCTCACTGAAGTCACTCTTTATGTCAAAGAAGAGGGAGCTGATTTATTAATTGTTACAATTTATGTGGATGATTTTCTCATCACTGGCAGCAATGAAAAGTTGATCCAGCAGTTCAAAGTTGAAATGAAGAAGGAATTTGAAATGAATGACTTAGGGAAAATGTCCTACTTTCTTGGAATGGAAATCAGTCATACTAGTCAAGGTATATTCATATGTCAGAAGAAATATGCTAATGAGATTTTGAATCAGTTTGTAATGGTTAATTGCAAAACAGTCAACACACCTATGGTTCCTTGTGAGAAGCTAAGAAGTGATGATGGTGCAGCTAAAATTGATGCAGGAGTATATCGGAGTTTAATTGGGAGATTGTTATATTTATCAGCAACTAGACCTAATATAATGCATTCAGTGAGCCTTTTGTCTAGGTTTATGCATTCTCCCAGTGAAATACACTTCAAGGCAGCCAAGAGGATCCTAAGGTATGTGAAGGGAACAACTGATTTTGGTGTTCTTTATAAAAGGTCAACAAATGTGCAGCTAATTGGATTTACAGATAGTGATTGGGCTAGTTCAGAGGAAGACATGAAGAGTACCTCAGGACAGTGTTTTTCTATTGGTTAAAGGGTGATTAGTTGGAGTTCTAAGAAGCAAGACTCAGTTGCCAAGTCAATAGCAGAAGCTGAGTACATTGCTGCTTCTCTTGCTGCAGATCAAGCTATGTGGTTCAGGAAACTGATGAATGATTTAAAACAACCTCAGATACATCCTACTGAGTTGTTTTGTGATAATTTTTCTGCTGTTGCAATTGTTAAGAATCCTATTCTTCATGGTAGAACCAAGCATATCAAGATCAAATATCATTCTATTAGGGAGATGGTTAATGAAGGTGAAGTCCAGGTTTTGCATTGTGATTCAGATGACCATATTGCTGATATATTCACTAAAGGATTGCACAAGTTCATATTTGAGACACTAAGAGACAAGCTTGGGATGAGCAGCATTAGTGTCAAGGAGGAGTGAAAACAGCAATGTAAAGACAGTGACACAAATGCTGTCA